CTTTCAATTGCGGCCACCGGTCCCCTTAGTCTTCAGAAAAAGTCCAGAGGCGAAGGTGGGATCGAATCCACGACCGCGGGATCCACTAGCCGAGAGTCTGACACCTTAACCACTCGGCTACCACTGCCCGGTTCGTTTCGGGCTTATGAACTTTTAAAAATCTTTAAATATCTAGGAGCCCTGCTTCTTTCTAGGACCCGAGCATCAGCCGAAACTTGAAATTTAGGGTCTATCGAATGATCTGAAATGTAGATCATGATGCCTGCGAAGTTTTTTTTTTTGGTGGTGTTGCCAAAAAAAGGTTCAGAAGATGCATGGATGGTCACTGGCGAATTCGTACAAACGGAAGTTGAACGTTTTGTACAAGAAGTCAAATATTATGAGAGAAATAAACTCTAGCCGCCTCAAATAGATTGGCCACGTGGAAAGGATGCTAGAGGACAGGACTGTAAATAACATTTTCTCGGTTAAACCAGGTGGATTACGGATGCGAAAGAGATAGTTGGACGACGTCAAAACGAAATCAGAAAAATGCAAATCTGACGCTGAAGAAGACACGCAGTGCCTGGACCGATATTGTAGAAGCCAGTGCCGTTTAAGGCTGAAGCTTGAGGAGTATCACTAATACTGGAAGTAGATGTTTAATAATTAAATGTTAGTTGAGTAGTATCATCAATATTTTTTTAAAGAGACTCGTCAATTATCTCAATAAGATGTCTAAATATTATTTTTATCAAGGGATTATCTTGTTGTTTGTTAGAATTGTCTTTTCTGTCCTTTCAGGTTGATTTGTATAAACGGCATTTGTGAAATAGTGGTTTGCCTTTTAGATACAACCCCCATCGGAATAAATGGTCAAAAGCCGCCCTGGGAGAGATTTTACAAGGGACCCCAAGCAGTTTTTAAGGCTTGAAAATCCGTGTTGATACGACGGGAAACAAAGCTAATTAATATTCAACCCGACGGCCCCATAAACGCCAACGGTTAAACGTGTTTTATGGTAATTGTCCTTACTCCTCTGAATGGAAGCCCTCTTCTGAATAAACGAATTAGCGGGCCCGAGGACGTTGAATTATTGCGGTTTTCTAGCGGTCTTAAACGGGATTAAGGTCGGCGAGAGTCGTGTTGTATACGAGTCAACTGTACACGGTGGTTCATGTCAATTGTAAAGGTTGTAAGGTGTCAAATGTGAGGCTGGATTATCAGGCCTTAAATTTAAAAAAATCATATTTTAATAAATAATATAAAAAAATTTTCTCGGTGAACATTTCACAGTTTTGAAGGCATCTGCTAATGTTTGACACACACATATAACAAACGATAAATAATACGTATAATAAATATAAGAAAGATTGAAAGAACAACAGTAGAAATAGGTGGTTTTGAGAGCAACACAGCAGACTGGAAAGGAGGATCAAAGATTGAACACAATCTAGATCTAGGTTAGTCAGAGTATAACCTCAAACGAAATGGAAGAAGCAACAAAAGCTATCACTGACTCAATATTGAAGGAGGAACCAGATTTCCCAAAAGCGATGCTCTACAGAAAAAGCACTTATACCAGGGACAAGCGATTCAACTGCAAGAATACTTACAATATTATAATGCTATGCAGCGAAAAATGAATTGCCTGGCGGTAAGCAATAGACCGAAAGGAATAAGTAGGAAAAGAAAACGGAGAAAGCTTGGAGGATATCTTACGCTTTAGCTAACCTATGGAAAAAGTCTATATAAAAACTGGCCTCCACAGTCACGGTTTCCAAGTTTTCACACTATCAAAAACGACACAATTGCAAAATCCAACCAATATTCCGATTCTTCTTCTTTCTTAAAAAAGTTCTTTAAAAATTGTTTGAAGCAAGCAAAATATTTTAAAAGAGCACAAAAAACATATCGCTAAAGACGGCTAGGGATGGTTTGGAAATGCATGGACGTGAAAGGCAGAGTGGCAGAAATAAGGACAATACATACCTCCTAGGTTCAGGAGGTTAGAAGAGGATGCCCACAAGAGCATACGTTAGTCTCATTATTTTGGAATGTTTGGTGTTTAACAGTCGACTGGAAATTCTAGATGAGCAAAGGAAATACACCTTATATTTTTGACATTCAATAATCTTCGGCTCATTAGAATGGACACCCTTCTTGAAATAACAAAATCAAATTCCACAAACCATGTTTTAAAATCATAGGAAGCTACATCAAAACCAAAATGGCCATGGCTACAATGCACACTTTTTGGTCCATAAGGTTACCAAAGAATGCCCACAGGTTTTTGTGTTAGGCCCAGTATTTAATAGACTCCTGGCACAGATATAAGAAATGTTCGTAGAATCTGTAGCCTTGGTAGTTGACCTTGTAAGAAAGACCAAAGCCAACAGTTTCACAAAGGTCAAGGAAAGATCCAAAGTAGTCGTGGACACAACTCATTCATTCCACTGATTTTGGTGGAAGACTTCTTAAAAGTGGCGCAAGGAGAAGCTGAGGTTACACGCTAGTGCTAAAAGGTACACTTACTCTCGCGGTCATTGTTAAAATAAGAGGAATATCCATCAAACCTTGTAAAATCTTAGCGGTGCACTTTCGCCGAACAGAATCGCAAGAACGACCGTTGTATTAAGCTCAAACGTATTTGATACACCGAATATGTATAATATATCTACCGATACCTACATAAGGAGGTCCAGCCTATGCACGTGAAAAAGATAACCAAACTATACTGGAACAAAGACATAGTAAAGGATATCGAATAACCACTGCGCATTCCTTCCAAGTTTATATCGCCTATGGCCAACCTACAAACATCACACCTTAAAAGTAAAATTGTCATAAGACAAATTAAAGGAATGAACGCCCCCAATAAACAAATAAATGAAATAAAAATAAAAACCGCTCAATATAATGAAAGATAGACACTTGAACAACGAGGAAAGAGTAAATGCAATGTGGGTGTTCAGGCTTATGGTATGGTATGGTATGGTGGAAAAGATACTAGGAAGCGTGGTTTGTATTCCCCAGCCTTCTGGCTTATTGTACCTTTTTAGTTCCTCAGTTCAGTCAATAGACACAATCCTTCTTCTTAGATGTGTCAGGTCATTGACTGTAGCTGCTGCAATTTGATTCCCTAAGTTTTTTTCTTAAGTTATGTTAAACCTCCTTTGAGCAGCTGCTTCGCATTCGAAGATTGTATGAGTGGCTGTTTCCTACTCCTCATAATCTGCAAATGGGATTATCGCTGTGAATACCCATGTTGTATAGGTGTTTTCTCAGATGCCAATGACCGGTTGATAGTCCTACCACTCCTCTGAGTTTGGCCTTCTCCAATTGCAGCAGTGTTTTTGCCAGTCTCGGTGAGGGTTGTTTCATCATACGTTGACTATGTCTAGCACCGCTAGAGTTTATCCACTTCTCCTTTTGTTTTGCTTGGATCAATTCTGCGATGGAGGATTCTACATTTGTTTTTGTTATCCCAAGGATAGGTGCGGGGCCTATGTATGGTCTTGCTGATCCTCCTCTCGCCAGTCTGTCTGCTTTCTCGTTACCCAAAATTCCCCTGTGCCCTGGCACCCAAGATATCATCAGGTTGTTGAGTTTCCCCAGGTTTTGGAGATTTTGGATGTATTCACTGACTAATTTTGATGTGATTCTTTTACATGCTAATGCTTTAATGGCTGCTTGGCTGTCTGATCTTATGAGGATATTTTTGTCAGTGTAACCTGTTTTAAGATTTTCCATGGCACAAGCATTGATGGCATGTATTTTCGCTTGAAAGACCGAAATGTACTTCCCTAATGAGTTTGATTGCTCATGTTTTGGGCTTGTACAGAAAACGCCTGATCCGGTTCCTTCGTTTGTTTTGGAGCCATCTGAGTACCATATCATTGTATCTGATGCTCTCCTGTGTTATTCTTCTCCTTTATAATCCGTTGAGACTTTATAGGAAGTTGTGAAAATATAATCAGTCCCCATTTCTAATAATGAGTGTCTGATTTTGTTGATTATGGTTGTATGCCCGAATTGTTTAGTTCCTTCCCAATTTAATTGTTTCTGGAGCTTAACTGAGCTTTTCCTAGCCTCTCCTTGTATAAATATTTCCAGTGGAGGTAGGTTTAACAAAGTTTCTAATGCGTTTGTAGGGGTTGTTCTCATGGCCCCTGTGATACATAGGTTTGCTAGTCTTTGTATGCTGACTAATGTTTGGATAGCTAATTTTTGTTGAGCTTTGTTCCACCAGATTAGTGATCCATAGGTTATACTGGGTCTTCTTATTACTGCCGTGTATAGCCAATAGGCCATTTTCCGTTTTAGTCCCCAAGAGTTCAGGCTTATAGTTAATTTCACTAATTTTCGTGGTCCGCTTGACCAATTAATATCTTTCAATTAATTAAGGTTTTTAGTTGAGATAAAAAAGTCAGTGTCACGAGCGGGTTTCGAACCCACGACCTTCGGCTTGATACGCCGCTGCTCTACCTCTTGAGCTATCGTGACCTCGATCCACTCGGACATTATCTTCCCATCTCAACCCCACCTTTTGAATTTTTCCCTCCACGAAAATTAGTGAATTTAATAAGTTAAAATGACGTATACCTTCACTAATGCTCTCCGTGGCCATTTCATTTGTAGCCTAGAATCAAAAGATTAGACGACATTTGGAAAATAGCAAAAAGGAGAGTAAATTCAAAAGGTGGGGTTGAGATGGGAAGTTAGTGTCCGAGTGGATCAAGATCACGATAGCTCAAGTGGTTGAGCAGAGGCGCATCTAGCCGAAGGATGTGGGCTCGAATCCCGCTCGTGACACTGACTTTTTATCTCAACTAAAAACCTTAATTAATTGAAACTTACAGTTAACTTTATTGATATTGATTAAGTTTGTGATAACAATCATGGCTTTATTTTTATCATAATTATTGTAAATTATCTTTGCTATCATGCCGACTGAGACTGTTTCTGCATCCATACATCAAGATTTTCGTTACTTATTTTGTCTTTTTTCTGCCTTTCAGGAAGTACCTCATCCTAGGAAAAGAGAGGGACGGTGACAAACCAGGTCTGACTATAACTCAACGATCCATTGTCATCGAATGGAAAGACGAATGGCTCAACAGGATGCGAAGATTCCAGAGGAGGTCGAAGCAATGCAAGTAGGCCATCATCGTCGACAAAACGAGCAGGAAAACACTAAACAAAATTTCATAATTTAAAAATAAATAAAAATGAAGCATCACCCGAATGTGATTTTCCAATTTGATTTTCTTCTTTGGTGTTGATTCTAATTTTTTTTCCAGAAATAATATGAATTTCCAAACTCCAATTTTAACCATATGCGCATATAGCAGAGAATAATCGAAAATAAAAAATAAAATACTCAAAATCATTGTATTATAATTTTGTAAATAGGTGTTAAATATTTTGTTTATTTTTTATTTTGTCATCAATTGATGAATTATTACGCTTCTTTTTTTCTATTTTTTATTTTTTTTTTTAAATATAATTGATTTTAAAACAAAAAAAGAAATATTGTAAAGATTATTTATTAAGATTTCCCCTTTCCTTTTCTTTCTCTTAATTGTGTAATTTGTTTATTTTTGTGTCATAATACTAAATAATTGTCTAATTAAGGACATATTTATCAGGCCTAATTTGTTAAAACAATCATTTTTTACTGTATTAGGTTTTGTTTTGAGGAAAATTTTGCATGATTTTTTAATATTTTCCCGCCCTGCAGAGTTTCCCCCCTCTTATTCTCAATGTACTTAAATTTCTAATTTACTTTTAAAGAAAGTTTGGTGAAAGCTTTACATTTTAACACAAGAATATTAAATCGCTATGACATCGTCTATAATGTGCTAATCCCTTTGTACTGTCGTCGGCGTTAAATTTTTGAAAGAAAAAAAAAACAACCCTACATTATTTAGGTGTTAGCCAGCTTGTTAGTAGCTTTTCATTGTTTATTGATCATCGTCGTGTTTACCTCGCAATCGATATTTTTTTCTGAGAAAAGTACACAATCAAAACGTACAATTGGATCAAAATCCACGACTAATACCATTGGGGGTGAGTTTCTTGGGATTTAAATAAAACGACTGGCCTAAAAATTCTCCAGGCCTAATTTATTTTAAAAATAATTGTTTATTATTTCCTCCTTATTCCTTGGACCCATTACATATCACGGAATAATACAAGCTTCTTTAGCCTGGCTTTAGTAAGATTTCTAATAAATAATAGTCGTGCCCTGAGAGAATAAAAAACAAAAAAGCGTAGTCTCATTTTGTGTTTCCTTTCTATCCTAATTTCCTCAGTGTATTTATATGGAATAAATCTGTGTAATTTGTAATATTCGTGTCCTAGTTATTGTATATTATATCTTAATACAATTATAAATATAAATATATAAATATAATTTATTTGAATGTAACTTTTAGGAGGTATGGTGTCCAGAGAAAAGTATGTCTCGATATTATTATATATAAACGGAAAAAATTAAAATAAAAAATGAATATAATTATTGTAACATTAAACTACCAGTTTTTACATTGTAGATGTATTATATAATAAATAAGGATTTTGAAAAAAAGTGTTGTTATTTCAAAAATAGTTTAATTTCTTTTTCCCCATGAAGGTGGATACACATTTTTCAAATTCATGGATACTGTAATGGCTGTAAGCCTGAGATCTAGTTGTTGATGTGGCATTGTGTAAATTTAGATATAATTTTTTCTTTAGTTCTTCTCTTATTTTGTTTTGTCATCTCTCTCTCTCTCTCTCAATCTCTCTCTTTATCTCTCTCTCTCTCCCTCTCTATCTATCTATCTATCTATCTATCTATCTATCTATCTATCTATCTATCTATCTATCTGTCTATCTTTCTGTCTATCTTTTTTCTTTTCTCTTTTCTTCCCTTATCTTCCTTTTTTGGTCTCCATTGATAAATATGAAACCATGTTTAATGTTCCATTTTCTACCTTCGTCAACTTTCTTAAATTTTGCCAGATGTTAAAACTCTTTTAATCTTTCGGTATCCATTGACCAGACAGGTCGATACCCTTAGCGTTTGTATGCCTCTTATTAACTAATACACACACACACACACACACTCACACACACACACACACACACACACACACACACACACACACACACACACACACACACACACACACACACATACACCCTCACTCACTCATTTATTGTTGTTTGTGTATATATGTTTCTGCGAGTGCATATATTTCCAAAAATCCATCTCTTTTTCATTATTTTCTCTAGGTTTTCTATATTGCTTCTTCTCTTGCTTCTCTCTCTCTCTCTCCCTCTCTCTCTCTCTCTCTCTCTCAAACCTGTATACTCAGACATCAATGTTGAAACTAATGGATGTCATACTTGTTGGACTATTAATAAACGCATGATGACGGTCTTAGTTTTATTTTACTTTTCACAAACATCTGATTCTTTGAGCTATTGTTTGCTTCTTCATACGTTAAAGCAGTTAAATTGTCTGATCTGTCTTGGAGGATTTGAATCACAGGGAAAAAACAATCTGTGACTGGGACGAATGGTGAAATTTTTGTTCGGAATGTGTTTACTTAGGTGTTTCGCATGGTTCTGTCTTAGGTCCATTTTTATTTTCCATCTATATCAGGGGCATATTTGCTTCTAAAAGATAAATTAAATATTATTGTATCGAAATAAGGTGACTTCCATGTGCCCTCTTCGAAAATAGGGCATGGTATTATGAAGGTGAATGATGAAAGTATTTGTAAATGCGTTGACAGCAAGAAATAGTTGTTTGTAGTTCGCAATTAACACCTTCGATTTTAAATAACTGAATAGAACAAAGGTACTTGAAACTGACTTGCCTAATGTGATACTGTGAATTGCTTGTGTGTTACAATTAGTAAAATCCTTTCGTAGAATCTGCAAATGAGTAGCAAAGTAAAGAAAATGCATCAAGCGCTGTACCAACTAAAGCAACAACAGAATATGTTACCGTTCGAATTAAGAAAGCAATTGGCGGCTTTGTGATTGCGATTCTTGTCTTTAATTACATAACCAGAGTTAGGTACAAAATTACGGAGAACTATGAACTCCATGGTGAGATTCTTTTTTGATGCAAGACGTGAAGAACACATTACTGCATACTACCGCCACTTAAAGTGGCTTCATGTTGGAGTACAGGAGGTTTTATTTTCTGCTTTCAAGTTTTTCTGGTTCGTTCAAAGCCAGGTCTAGTTGTCACAATATTTGTGTTTTCGACTTAAGATTAGAGGTCAGCTATAAATGAGGTCGACCAGAGAATGTGGTACAGATTTGTATGTACGTCCACATAGGACAGCCGCTCAACAAAAATCATTTTTAATCTATCCTTGCAAATTGTGGAACTCCCTTCCCATTGATGCTTAAACGAAAAACCTACAAAAGTTTAAAAATGCGATAAACAGCTACATCTTACAAAATTATCATAAAATAAAAGAGGTTACACTGGTCATAAACCTTTTAAGATCAAACAGCCAACGGTTCTATAAGCTTCAAACGTAAAAAAGTCACTCGCCTAACAGTCGGTGACTGTATCCAAATCCTGATATATCAGATAGCCTGACAACACCAGAAGTGCCTGGGCACAATACAATTTTTATTAATGGGGAAGCAGACAAACAAACCAGCGGAGGATCCCAAAGACTCAAAATCTAAAACAAGATCGAACATAACTATTTCTCAGAATGGTTTCACACAAAACAAAAGAAGAATTAGACATCACTTTTTAGGTCTCTCTCTCTCTCCTCTCTCTCTCTCTCTATATATATATATATATATATATATATCTTTATCTTTGTTTTCTCTCTGTCTCTCTGGTTTTTAGTTTTTTCTTTCTCTCGCTCATTCTTTCCGTCTTTCTCTCCATATTTTCTCTCTCTCTCTCTCTCTCTCTCTCTCTCTGACACCCTCTGTCTTTTAGTTTTTATCTCTCTCTTTCGCTCATTCTTTCCGTCTTTCTCTCCATATTTTCTCTCTCTCTCTCTCTCTCTTCCTCTTTGTTTTCTCTCTGCCTCTCTGTTTTTAGTTTTTTATCTCTCTCTCTTTTGCTCATTCTTTCCGTCTTTCTCTCCATCTTTTTTCTTTTTTTTTCTCTCTCTGGCAACTTCTTTCTCTTTTTCTCTCTCTCTCTCTCTCTCTCTCTCTCTCTCTCTCTCTCTCTCTCTCTTCCTCTTTGTTTTCTCTCTGCCTCTCTGTTTTTTATGTGTTTTTATCTCTCTCACGCTCATTCTTTCTGTCTTTCTCTCGATATTATTTCCCTCTCTGACACCCTCTTTCTCTTTTCACTCTCCTACCTTCTCCGCGATCACTCTCTTTCATTCTTCTCTCTCTCTCTCTCCCTCTCTTTGTTTTCTCTCTGCCCCTCTGTCTTTTAGTTTTTATCTCTCTCTTTCGCTCATTCTTTCCGTCTTTCTCTCCATCTTTTTTCTTTTTTTTTCTCTCTCTGGCAACTTCTTTCTCTTTTTCACTCTCCTTCCTTCTCCGCGATCTCTCCCTTTCATTCTATTTTATCTCTCTCTCTTTTCTCTCTGCCTCTCTGTTTTTAGTTTTTTATCTCTCTCTCTTTTGCTCATTCTTTCCGTCTTTCTCTCCATCTTTTTTCTTTCTCTCTCTCTGTCCCTCTTTACTCTATTCTATTGTTTCCTATTTCCATTTCTGTAATTTCTTATTATCTCTAGTTCTCTTTTTACATTGTTTTCTCAATATTCCTTGTTTTTGACAAGACTGGTAATGCAACATAATTAATTTCGTTGCGGATTACATCACCTCTCTGACCGAATAAATCTCACAAACTAACGTAGATTAAGTTTCCTCTGACAGATTTGTTGTAACGGGCGACCTGCAGTCTTGCATTTTCTGCACTGCGATCAATAACAAGTAATGATAACTAATCCGTCGTTTAATTACACGCACGCTAAACCGTGCTGTGTGATGCGTGAAATCGAATGAGCACGCTCTGAGGATTTGACACGGCTTACACCGGTTTCGACGAGTGGCCAGTTATTAATGAGGGATGAAATTAACCGCAAGGAGATACTGTCTGACGGCGCTTTAAATGTATTTCTAAACGGGCCTAAATAAACCTAACGCCAGTCGCTCTGCAAGTTGACATGCTGGCATTTGTCCTAACTGGATTTCTTAATTTATATTGTAGCCAGTGTGTTCGTACCTACCTCCATTGGAAATATTCATTCAAGGAGAGGCTAAGAAAAGCTCACTTAGGCTTCAGAAACAATTAAATTGGAAAGGAACTAAACAATTCGGGCATACAACAATAATCCACAAAATCAGACACCCATTATTAGAAATGGGGACTGATTATATCTTCATATCTTGCTATAAAGTCTCAACGGACTATAAAGGAGAGGAAGAACACAGGAGAGCATCA